AGGTATTTGATTCTTTTTGTTTTAATTGAAAAGGGGATGGTTTTTTTTTTATCTCTGTTTCTTCTGCTTGATTGTGTATAAGAAAGCCTCTGACTTTTGTGTGTTGATTTTATAACCTGCTACATGAAGGCACTTTTGACTGAGACTGAAAGAGTCAAATTGAAATCTGAACAGTGGCTTATGTCATAGAGAATTTTCTCTTTGGGCCTTTTAAAAATTAGATGTGAATTGGTATGACTTAGTATTTATAAGAAGGTTTACTACTAAGATACTTTTTTGTTGTTGTTTGTTTTTCCAATTTCAAGACTATTCTTAGGGAGAAGGAGGAGTTTCTCAGTTGTTTTTCATACAACAATATTTTTCTGAATAGTTATAGAATGATCAAACCCTTTCTTGAGTATAAGAAATATTCTGTGTGCCTTCTTGATGGCCTAGGGATTATGTCTTAGTGCTGCCATCTCTCAGGCCAGGGAGCTGACCCACATAGCACAGCCTGCTATCTTGCTGTCTGCTGTCTTGCCTGCTGCTCCTCTTAGCTGTATATTTCAGTAAATCTGCTTATTCTGCTTTCTGCTCTTTCTGGTGAATCTTCTTACCCCCTCACACTCTGGCCTACACCCGGCTCTTCTGTGCAAAAATAAATAAAATCTTTGATGGAAAAAAAAACGTTCTTAGAAATTAAATACTTTTCCACGCATATAATTAAGAAAGCATGTGAGGTAAATGTAAGTATTTAAATTTTGACAATTCTCAATCCAGTATTCAATTTTTATAACAATGGCAGTATTTCAAACTATCCACAGGACTTAAGGACATCTTAGGTATTCAATAAAAGATAATTGCTCTATCCTCACAGAAAATGCATCCTTCACACTTGATAAGCAAATACTTCCTGTGACTGGGGTGTGGGAAAGATGCATCATCTTCACTTTGTATATTAACAGATGAAGATGGAGGAGAAAATACTGATAGTAGATAAACAGGTAGCCAAACAAGTTTAAAAACCATGAGATTGCCTATCAGCTCCTGCTCTGATTAAGATAATTTAGAGTCAGCACATGAAGGGATCTGAACACAGTCTTGTTAGAATCAATGGAACAACATTTCTTGTAAAATTCACAGCTGGGTGGATAAATACTCAAATGAAATATATTTTCTTCACCAGTATACTAAAGCAGGATAGAATCACAGGGGTCCAGTTGCAAGGCCTGATAGCTTCTTGGAGAAATGTGTAGATAATAATACAGCATCTTGAGGAATCAGAATGGATAGAGAGTCTTCACCCAGACACACGTACTCCCTAATGTGCTTCTTTGTACTGTAAGAACAGTTCTGAGAAGGTCTATTAAGAAGTTATAAAAAAAAAAAACAACTCTGTAAAAGCCCTCCTTGCCATGGGAGAATAAAAAGAGTAATTACCATTGTAAGCAGAGTCATCAATGTGATTTACACCGGAAAACGAGGACATCTGCCAAAAAATCTAACAGTGCAGGGTTTTAAAGTACCTATAAATGTAAGGAATAATTTACAGAATTCAGTGGTTACATCCCCTGAGCTGCTAAAACACTTTTCTTTTGTAGTTTTTACATTCGGATCATTTTGGTCATGTCTTAATGGTGAAATGAAATCAGTAGTTTAAGGAAATACAATTATATTGCTATTTTCATGGCTTTACTAAGAAGCAGGAAGAATCTGACATGGATTAACTAATTCTATTACAAATACTAACTCAGATGTATAAGGAATGGGTGACCGCCAAAAGATGACTGATTTCTCAAGATGATACAAAAAGCTACCTTACAAATTTGAAACCATGCTTTGAAAATTGTTAAAAAATTACTTGTGGCCCTCCCTGGTGGCACAGCGGGTTAAAGCACAGCACTGAGAAGCTAAAGCCACTTCCACATGAGTTCGATTCCTGCCTGCCTCGGAGGTTACCACATGGTGTGGCAGACCTCTCTTGACCCGACCGCTGCTCCCCTCAGCAGTGTACTTCGTCGATCTGCCTGTTCTGCTCCCCACTCTGTCTCTGGTGAAGCCTCTCACCGCCCCTGCACCTCTGGCCTGTACCACAGTTCTGTATGCATAAATAAATAAATCTTAAAAAAAAAATTGCCTGTATGGGGCCCTCTCTGGTGGTGCAATGGGTAAAACACCACTAAGAAGCTAAAGCCACTTCCGCATGAGGTGACCCAAATGGCATGGAAGAACTCTCCTGACCCGCCCGCTGCTCCCCTAAGCAGTGTACTTCATCAGTCGCCCTGTTCTGCTCCCCGTGCTGTCTCTGGTGAATCCCCTCACCACCCCTGAGCCTCTGGCCTGTCCCCAGCTCTGCATGCATAAATAAATAAATCTTAAAAAAAATTTACCTGTATGGCAGGTCTTTGTATAACAAAGCAAATCTAAGATTGATGTCCTGGAAGAACTGAGATATGATAGATTTCAAAATGTCTCCAAGTTTATGGCCTAGGAATATAGCCTGGAGTTAACAAGTAGCCAAGCTGCTGACAAATATAGCAGCAACCTAGAATTTTTCTTCCAATGTCAGCATTTTTTTTTCTCCCATATACAGTAAGTATAAGTAAAAAGGATCTATCTGTTTTGGGATCCTCACACCAGTCATGTAAGCTTGGAACCAGTAGAGTCTGTGGTCAAGTTGGTCACTCTAGATTCCAGCTGTGGATTCAGACTAGCTTGGCTGCTTTCTATCATATGAAATTAGGCAGATTACTTCACTTTTTTGAGCATCAGTTTGATCATTTATAAAAAGGGAATAAGAATTTCCCAAAGTTCTATCTCTCCATTAGGAGTATAGTATGAATTTTTTTTTAACTTTTTCACTTTTTTTTTAAAAGATTTATTTCTTTATTCATATGGAACTGGGGTACAGGCCAGAGATGTGGAGGGTGAGAGGATTCACCAGAGAGGGGAGCAGAACAAGCAGATCTACAAAGTACACTGCTGAGGGGAGCAGTAGGCAGGTCAGGAGAGGTCTGCCATGCCACGTGGTCACCTCCTGGGCAGGCGGGAATCGAACTCATGAGGAAGTGGCTTTAGCTTCTTAGTGCTGTGCTTTAACCCACTGCACCACCAGGGAGGGCCAACTTTCTCACTTTTTAATTGCCCAGAGATAGGAAATGTTTTTATTATCTTTCACATTTATACTCTACTAATTTCGTAAGTTGAGTTATCAAGAGTAAAGATCACTAACCCTTCTTTCCCTCCACATGTTACTGGAATTGTCTCTGTTTTCCAGAATCCCCTACTTTGAAACTAGTGCCGCCAATGGGTCAAATATAAGCCAAGCAATTGAGATGCTCCTGGACCTGATAATGAAGCGAATGGAACGGTGTGTGGATAAGTCCTGGATTCCTGAAGGAGTGGTGCGATCCAATGGTCACACTTCCACTGTTCAAATGACTGAACAAAAGGAGAAGGGGGCATGTGGCTGTTGAAGTGACCTACAGGATACTTCATTGGCACATGTCTGGTCTTCTCTGTGGGTAATACATGGCATAAAGAAAGATTAGTGAACATTTTGTTCAAACTGCTTCTTAATATCCCAATTAGACCTATGAATAAAAAACCTATTTTTAAAATTAATTTACTGCAGCTTTATAAATATTTCTATAAGATTCAGCCTGAAAGTCAGGAGTGACATTTCACATAGCCTAAAGTGCCTTAGAAAAACTTGGGCCAAAGTAGTAGGTCAGGATTCAGGAGTTTAGAGCCACAGAAGAGTGTTTATTATATAGCATGACTAAATAGACTATCACTTGCCTTCATATAGAGCCCAGAGACTCACACTCTAGATATTAAATATAATTGTTAAAATTTTCACTCTTGAATCCCAATTAAAAGACCCTACTTGTGCCATTGGTGACCTTTTAAAATGCCATCTAAACCAACCTAAAATTAACAATATGTATATATATCACTTTGATGTCCTTGTACATAATTTACATATGAATTCTCTTTTATATGAATATAGGGCAAATTATGACAATTTTTGTAGAACTGGATAAATTGTATTGGCCAATTGACTTTTGTTGGTCAGAAAGAAATTGGGAAGGATTGGGTCCAGGGTGGCTTGATGTAATATGAGCAACCTAAGTGGGACTTCTATCTCCCTGCCATGTTCCCATTGCTCTGCAAAGTTGATTGGAAGAAACTAAGTTCTTATGGCATTAGTTCACTGTGATGTGTGCACTTACAGTTGGCTAATATATTGGCCACATTTGAATATAGCTGGTGCTTATGCTGAAGTTATTTGTGATAAGTAAACATTTAGCTTCATATTTATATTGGTCTGGCATTATCAGGCTCTAGTTCAGTTAGCTTGTGAGCTACTGATCCTCTGTCTTAACCATCACGCTTTATATGGTTGATATTTACTTGTTTTATTTTTCACACTGTAGAATTGAAGGATTTAGTTTTAATTATGTAAAATGTCTATTTGCAATTTGGTGGAAGATGTTTGTATTTAAACAGTTATATTTGTACTGTAGCTCATTATAAAAGCAATCAAGTTTTCTATAGCCTGTATTTTTTCATTGCTATCAGGAACATTTATTATACTTGCTGGATCTTGCCAAGTTCATCTATTCTGCCTTAGTGTCTTCATACAAAACTGAAAGTGGTTTTAATATCTGTTTCATGACAGTTGTTTATAAAGTTCAAAGGTGGGGGGAATCTTGTTTTTTGAATGGATTTTAAAACAGTAGATTAAAAAATCCACAAAGCTTAATAACTATTTGGGAAGAAATACATATAATTTAAATAAAAATTAAGAATAAGTGTATTTTGTGGTAGCAAATGTTTGGTAGAACTGTAATCAGAAAAATAAAACTGATAGAAAAGAATTACTTTAGTGTGATAATTTTCAAATGACTTTTTATTGAGCACTTTGTGTTTTTTGGCCTTACCCACCCCCCTAACTTCTTGCTTAGCTGTGATTAATGAGATCTATGCATTTCTGTCCTTGAAATGAGGAATTGTTTTAAATACCTAAGAAGTCATTGAGTCCTATACATTTGAATTGGGTATTGTAGTGAGGAAAAGATTCAAACATATCAAGGGCAGGGTCATAGTACCAAGAAGTGCCTTCAAAAACTGCCCTTAGACTTCAGTGGAGTACATCACAATTTTACAGGTAGAGGTTAGGGGACATTTAACATGGTCTATTTATATAGACAAAAAGAACAGTTTGTTTTACTTTTCAAGAACCAATGAGCAAATAAGCTACAGATTCTACTTGCCTTATGTATAGTACACACATACAAAACATCTTTATTCACTGAAATAACATGAATTCTATTTAGAAATAATTTAGAAATAATTTGTTTCAATTTGATATTGAATTATATTTTTTGTGCATCCATGTATTTTTCTATTTAGAAGCCGATGTAAAAGTCAAGTTTATCTTCAGTGAACTTTGTGCCAATTAAGCTTACAATAAAATGTGGCCTTGTCTGTCAAGTTTGTGTGTAAATGTAACCTCATTTCTTAATCACAAAGAAATTTCCAACCAGAGCTAATAATACTAAGGGAAACCAAATCAAAGGTCAAAAATTCTATTAGGTTCTTGATGAGGGGCAAGCCAAGACAACATATTGAGAGAAGGTAATATTCACTCTCACGTGAACAAAATAAGGATTGCAAGGGCATGGACTAGGAGATATTCATTGCAGGAAACATTGGGAAGGTCATAGCTATTATTGAATGACATGGAAGAATATGTGGGGAGATGGGCTCTTTGACCTTATTTCCTATTGCTGTCCACTCATACCTCTCTCTGTAGGCACACTGGCCTTCTTGCCTCACGTATGTTCTTGCCTCAGAAATATTTGCTGTCCCTTCTACCCGTAATGCTAGTCTTCCTGTACATGGCTCCATCTAGTGTCCTTTGAGAGTGTTCAAAATTTACCTTACTGTGTAAAAACATTTTACTAATCACCTTATATAAAATTGGAGTCGCTCTAACCAATTTTGTAGTGATCCCAACCATTTGTTACTTTTTGACCTGTTATCTTTCTTAACTTTCAGATGCCATTCCTAAGCACTTTATATATTTATATGTTTGTCTTCTTTAAGATATAACTGTCTGAGTACGTGGACTTCAACAGCAATTTCCTTTAAAACTGTGTTTGTCCTATCCTGAAAAGGACCTGGTACACATTGGGTAATTAAATTATTTCTGAGTGACTGAAGAAAGGACTTAAGAGTAGCAGGGTCAAGTGAAAAGGTTTTCAGAATGGGAATCATTAATATTCAAAGACAGGAAGAGAAATTGAAAATTAAAACAGCTTTACAAATGTTTAGAAAGGCTTATGTGAAAGCCTATATTGTTTTATTCTGAGAAATTGGAAATCTGAGAAGTACAGTCTGATCTTTTGAAGAAATCTAGGAGAATGTTTTGCTTGATTATAAACTGCAGATCTCTGGTATTTTTTTTAAGGTTTTATTTATTTATGAATACAGAACTGGGGTACACATGGGGAGCAGAACAGGCAGATAGATGAAGTATACTGCTGAGGGGAGCAGCAGGCAAGAAAGGAGAGGTCTGCTGCACCATCCCTGGGGCGGGGATTAAACTCACACTGAAGCAGCTGCCACCAGCTTGCAGTGCTGTGTCCTAACCCCTTGTATCACCAGGGAGGGCCCATTTCTAGGTTTTCTATTGGCAACATTGGGTAACTATATAACTGAAAAATTATATAAATGCTTATAATGTTGGATAAAATATTATAAATATATTACTAAAAGGTAGTGTTGATATCTCAAGAAAGTAAAAGAAATGGCCTAAGGCTACCACTATTCCCCACAAAACAGAAAACAACAGAAATAGCAAATAACAGCAGAGAGAATTTAACAGTTATCTGATGCTGGATATAGTTTGCTTTTGGCTATATTTTGTGTTTTTGGTTTCCCTTAGGATTTATAACTATAACCTTCTTTATAAACATAACTCTTCTTTATACAGGTTTAAGTTCCCAGTTTATATTATCTATTTTGGGAGGAGTCTACAAATTAGCATACAATTAACATAACAAGGTGATTTATGGTTGGTAATACCTCTGGATTACTTGGTAGAGGCAAAACAAGTTTTTTTTTTTTTTTAACCAAATGAAACATCTTGAACTCACAGTGAAGTGGCTGTAGCTAGCTGCAATGCTACCATCCTAACCCGTTGTGCCACCAGGGAGGGTCCATGAAGCCTAATTATTATATCAGAATCAATTTAGCCACAGACTTTGTTGTACTGCTCATTGTTGATAGTAATTTTAGGATTATTATGAAGCAGTTTGGGAAAACAATGTTGGACTGTATGCCGGTATTTTGATAACCTAGACTGTATGCCGGTATTTCGATTCTGTGGTGTCTTCTCTTGCATCTCTTTTCTAACCTGACTCTAGTAATGTATGTGGAATTGATAGATAACATTTTTATTTGACTCAAAGAAGCACTAATAGATCTTGTTTAGGTATTGAGGAAGCCTGACATCATTACATGAAACCTAAAGGGACTTTGAAGCAAAGTAATTTGTGTGGGAGGAATAACAAAACAGAAGTCAAAGGTGGTTGGCTAGAGCATAACTAGGGCAGGATGCTTTAAGTAGATTTCCTATTTTTCAAAAATATTAATTGTAATTTTTGATGTATAATTTCAACTTTCAGCAGCAAATAAGCGTGTGCATAGAAGGTATTATTAAAATTTATATCTACAAAAACCCACACAAGACTTCCAATAGTATACCTACTAGATGGAGAGCATAAAGTAAAAATACTTAAAATAATTACTAACACAAAAGGAACTGAAATGTCTGGAGAAAGGTAACAAAGACTGGTTTGAATTGCAAAAAATGAAATCCAGCTATGAGCAACTTTGCCGTTGCTATTCAAAACAATGTCCAGGGGTTAAATCACAAGTCTGATAACATTGAGAAAGTTGATAACTAGAGGCTAGTTAGGAAGAAATTGAACTGAATTCGGCAAAGATATAAGAATGAGTTGAAAAGATATGTTAAGTATGCATCGCTGATAAAATGTGTATTGAATGTTTCTATGTGCCAGGAACTGTTCTAGGCAGTGGGGATATTTTTTTTTTTTTTAGTTTTATTTATTTGTACATACAGAACTGGGGTACAGGCCAGAGACTCAGGGGCAGTGAGAGACTTCACCAGAGACAGAGTGGGGAGCAGAACAGGCAGATCAACGAAGTACACTGCTGAGGGGAGCAGCGGGCGGGTCAGGAGAGGTCTGCCACTCCATGTGGTCTCCTCCGGGGCAGGCGGGAATCGAACTCATTCGAAGTGGCTTTAGCTTCTCAGTGCAGTGCTTTAACCCGCTGCGCCACCAGGGAGGGCCCGGGGATATAGTTTTAATCTAAAGAAGTTCGCTGCCTTCGTGGAATTCATATTCCAGTGATAGGAGAGAGGTAATAGCAAGTTGCAGATAAAAGTGAATGAATAGAATGTTCCTGTTACAAAGAGGAGAAAGTGGAAATACGCACAGACATAAATACGTTTGTCTATACACAGAAAGTAATATGGCAGGTAATCAAAAATAATTGTTAGTGGGAGGAGGTCCGAAGTTTGGGGAGGGAAACTTAGTTTTCTCTGAAAATGATTTTACCATTTACATGTTTTAACTAAATGGGGGGAGGAGAACACCACAAGTCTGGTAAGTTAATAGTTTGTACAGCTGTTGGTAAAATCCATTGAGGCTCAGAAACACAACTGCTCCCATTGCAATGTCTGCCATCGTTGACACAGCCAGCACAGTGAAGGGTCCACACTAGGATGGAGAGTGAGTCCTAGACACACCCCGCTGTGTGGAGAGCCCGCTGGTGCAAAGCCCAAGCCAAAGACAAGAAATATAAACCAAGTGCTGACGTTAGAGAATACGGTGGAGGAAAACTAAAGTGGGTTCAAACGCGGCGCACTTCCAAGATCCGTTTTTACTGAGCCTGGACCGCCAGGCTGATTGCACTTGCGCGCCTGCGCAAAACGACTGCGCAGTTGCCCGCGCGGCCGCAGAGAGGCGCCCTTGCGATCGGACGCTTTCCTGGGAGAGAAGACGTCCGTTTCTTCCGGGTCTGAGAAGAAAGTCACTTCCGGTGACGGGGCTACGTCACTTCCTCTCAAGTTCGGCTGAACGTTTGGGTTCGTGGTACCCACGCGGGTTCAGCATGCGCATCGAGAAGTGTTATTTCTGTTCGGGGCCTATCTACCCCGGCCACGGCATGATGTTCGTCCGCAACGACTGCAAGGTGAGGTGGCCGAGACCAGGTAGCGCCTCTCTGCGCTCCCTCGAGGCCGCTCTGTCCGGCGCGGGGTTACTCAAAGGCTACGGGATTCGGCCTGCGTTTCCTAGGTTGTCCGCAGGCAGGTAGCCTTGTCGGGAATTCCGGTCTAACCCCTTCGCTTGGGGAGTTTCTTCAGCCTTTGCCAGAACAGAGCTGACCCTGGCCCTCCTTGCGCGCGTTGGCAGCGAGGAGGTTTCAGGAACGTGCTTAGTCTTCGCCGAGGGTGACTTTGGGGGTCTATTAGGGCAGTTCGGTCACTCTTGCGTGGCCAAAAGAGTCCTCGAGCTAAGTAACCTTGTTTGAATGCACCCCCACCCTCTAAAATGTCTGCGTCCAAAGAGACGAATAGGACTTCGGCCTGTCCCAACTGTGGAGAGGCTGCTATAAACGTTATATGTGGCTTAATGTGTGTGACATTGTTGGAGGTGAGTTGTGGAGAGTCAGGAGATAGCTTTTTAGGTTCTTGAATTTTCATGAGAAAGTGAAGAGAGCTCTTAATTCCAAGTGCAAGGAGAGTGACTTATCTGAGTGAAGGCACAGGATATCAGTTATATTACTGTTTAAGGAATGGACTGCATTATAGATGGCTTGGGTTAGGACTAGAAATACAAATAAAACACGCCTATAAATGTGTAAGACCAACTTGTGACAGACTTATTTGCCTTTTCTTATCGGTTTGATTTAGCCTCATTCCTCTGTTTCTTTAACACATTGCTTCTCACTTATTTGCTTCGGAATAAGTGAGCCCTGGTGAAAAACAGAAATCCGTAGTTTCCACTAGATCTATTGAATTGGAATCTTTGAGGGTAAGGGGGGGGGTAGTATCTAGAAATATGTGTATTGAACAAGTGATTTGACTTGCCAGAGAACTACTTTCTATGTTACCATCTTGTGTCTGTTATTAACTAGAGGTATTGATCTCATTAAAATAGTAGTGAGGGCTCAAAACTATGTTTGGGAACTTAAAGAAGTATGTGGAAGATTTTGAATACCTGCTCTCAGGAACCTGATAAAAAATAAATGACTAAGAGATAGCTAGGAGTAGGTCTAGCTCATAATAAGCAGTAATTGTGTTCATCAGGAGTTTGATTTTTATACAGCAAAGCTTGCCACTCTCATATTGGAATTAGAATGACATTGGAAGCTATCTAGAATTGGGTGGTGTTCTGGCCTATAGTGCAAGTTCAGGTTGATGAGGAACTCTGTTGCTACAAGGAACTCTGTGTTTAATTGACTGGGAACCAATTTACTTCAGGGAAGACCAGTAGTTTAAGATGTTGGTTGGTGAAATAAGAAATAGAGGCCTTAAAGTACTAATAAAGAGTAAGGGTCTTGTTTATTCTGTGTTGATCTTAAATCTGTATCACCTTAGCTCCTTAGCCAACTATTTAGTTTCCAGCAAAATAGTGAAAACCTGCCTGTACCTAACAACTTACTGAAAGAAAATTCCTTTTTATATCAGATCTTTTTGCACTTTGAATTAATACCACTGTCATTTTCTTAGACAATTTGGCCATTTGTCATTTTCTTAGACAATTTGGTCAAAGGTGACAACCTTTGAATCTTTCTCATTTTTGCATCTGTTTATCACATCTCCCTCATTCTGTCTTCAGAATCATAATGGTATAGCTTTCTTTCTGCCCCTCTTGCCTTTGTTCAGTTGCACTTGTACTTTTACATAGACTCCTAACTTTCTATCCTGGATTCTCTTAGTGTTTGAGATGGTCTTTCATAGAGATCTCCCTCTTGTATTGCTTGGGTAGTGTAAGGGTAGAGTTAGTGTAAGGTAGAGTTAGGGTAGAAGCAAGAACTATTCATACACCCTTAATGAGTTCTTAATAAATGTCTATTGAAGTGAAATAAAAAGGAATTGAAGAACTGAAAATGATGCTAGAGGGAAATGAACCTCCGAAGCTTTACCTTGCACATAATTCATTTACCTCCTACCCTAATGTAGATTTAATTCCTTCCTTAATCATGTGTTTTCATATTACTAATACATGGTCATTGCATCTAGTGTTATACTCCTATTTTTATTCTAGTATGTTTTCCTCCTATTTTATATTCTAGTATGTTTGTAAAGTGAGGCTCTCACATTATTAGCCCAAGCTTTTCAAGGTAGGGTCTCATTATTTAAATATTCTTGTGTTCCAAGTATTTATGGCATTGTCAGATGAAGAGTAGGTGCTTTTTATTTGCTGATTGAACCCCCTTCATGTCTTCAGTGACCCAGGTCTCTTCAGACAGTTCATTGTGTTTTTTCAGATAACATCTGTTAGCTATAGAATTTAAGTATTTGGAATTGAGGACAAGTTCTAACCTTTCATTGGATATATGAGATGGCTATGGTTATATATTACTATGTGTACTGAAATAATATTCATATTGTCTAGTTGCTTTGAAATAAATTCAAGAATGTAGACATGCTTTCAAGTCTCTCAGGAAAGAGCTCTCCTAGAGGTACAGACTTAGATGAGATTAAACTGTTACTGACCTTTTTCTATGAAAACTTTGTCTTGGTGTATTTGGTGAGTGATGTGCTTGAATTTCCCCATAGAACAAAGTGTACATAAAATGAAAATTACTTTGACTAGTGGTATACACATATACTTGTTTAATTTGAACTGTTCCTGCTTCATTTTGACTTTTTTTTTTTAACAGGTCACACCTTCTAGGTGTGATTATTCAACCTAATTTTCTTGGCCAATATTTTTTAAATTTAATTTACTCTAGTAAATTTATAAATTTTAATGTGATCTAAGACATTATAGAGAGCAAAATAATGCATTTTAGAATATGAGTTTCAATAAGCCATTTCAGAAGTACATTAAAGCATCACTATTTAACTTAAATGCTGTTAAGGGACTACATCTTTTGGAATAAACCTGGAGAGCTAAAGTAGTGAAGAATCATTCCCATATGTCTATGAATAAATACTTTAGAAAATAAGCCAGTTTTAGTTGCTTTTTTGAAATTATATTGTCCTCTTAATACAAAGGATAGAAAGATTTCAGAATGATTTGAAACTTATTCTGAAATGGGAAGGGTTTAAAATAATTGTCCTTAAAATTGTTACCGTCATGGCCCTCCCTGGTGGCGCAGCGGGTTAAAGCACAGCACTAAGAAGCTAAAGCCACTTTCACATGAGATCGATTCCCGCCTGCCCCGGAGCAGATCCACATGGTGAGGCAGACCTCTCCTGACCCACCCGCTGCTTCCCTCAGCAGTGTACTTTGTCCATCAGCTTGTTCTGCTCCCCTCTCTGTCTCTGGTGAATCCTCTCATCCTCCACATCTCTGGCCTGTACCCCAGTTCCATATGAATAAATAAATAAATCTTTAAAAAAAAATTGTTACCATCATTTAGATTAATGATAGTTTTTAGATTAATGATAGTTTTTAACTATTTGGGGTGAGGCCTTAGTCTTAGTTATCCATTCAATAGTCAAAGATTTTTAATTTCCATTTAATCTGGTAAATGGTATAAGTGAAAGAATTGTGAGAACGTTGTCATTTCTCATCTTTACAGCATATGTTATCTGCCAGAGATAACATCCTCTAGTAGAAAAATCTTGAATGTTGACTTTTCACTATTTTAACTTAATTTTCTTATAGGTATTCAGATTCTGTAAATCCAAGTGTCATAAAAACTTTAAAAAGAAGCGCAACCCTAGAAAAGTTAGGTGGACAAAAGCATTCCGGAAAGCAGCTGGCAAAGAGCTTACAGTGGTGAGTATAGTTATCAGTATAGTTTTTACTGTTTCAAATTTTTAACTTGATGGGATGACATATATTTTAGCAAATGATGACAAGACTTCTAACAGTGTGATTGATAAGTGCTTATTTATTATGGTAATAATCTCATTTTCATATGGTCTTAAAAACTATGGTTCTATAATGTTCTGAAGGAAAATGTTCCTAATTCTTATTCTCAGACTATTTTCAGTTTGCAAACAGGAAGAAATTATTTAAATAGATGCTGCTATTCAGGGATTATAGGAGGAAGCTAAGAGATTAATTAAAGAATTCCTGAGTAGAAGTAAGGGCTTGGATGAGATTTTTAATATATTAATTTATTGGTTTTTAGATTTCTGCCATGGAATTTGTATCTGAGAACAGAGAAATTAGTTGATAGTTAATAATGTTGGTGTGAAGAGGAATAGTCAGGAGTGAGGAATTTTAAGAGGTGAGCCCCGATCTCATATTGCTGAATAAGGTTCTAGTGAGGCTTGTCCATATTTGACCCCTGTAAAGAGAAGCAGAGAAAACTGCTCCATAGACCATCTTTGAGGGAGGAAAGTATTATGCTATCCTCTCTCAAACCCATGAACTCTTTCCCACCACTCTGCTGCCCAAGGACAGTGTCTAAGCATTTGCCATGAAACCCTTTGCTGGTGCCTTTAACTTGAGTGGATTTCAGTGAGTGGGAAGAAAATTTTTTGACAGGCTGCAGGGTCAAATCATAGTTATTGTCACAAAAATATTTTCAGTCTGGATAAGAAGAAGCAAGTGGCAGCTGCATGAGTGATGAAAGCTTGCTGGTCATAAACTGGTAGCTGGTTATTTTGTTATTACTGAAAAGAGATGTGCATATAAATGAAATAGCTAAATAGTGCTGACCCACAGCTCTAAAATCAGATAGATAGAAGTACCTGTAGTTTTTCTGGGAAACTTGTAACTTTTCCAAAATTCTTTTTTAAGATAAAATAGGATATTGATTGAAAATATCTAATTTATTTAGAGGGGACTGAAAAATTTCATGGTGAAACTTATGTCTTGGGTTGTAGCTCCACATTTATTTGAAGGTAGTAGTTACACACCTGTTCTCTGACACAAAAGTATATAGGTATTGAAATGTATAAGCATGATGGGTATTTAGATCGAACCATATGAAATTCTCAATATTTTACTTTTTTAAAAAAAAATGTTTTACTTGTGCATACAAGAACTGGGGTATAGGCCATGGGTGTGGATGTTGAGAGGATTTACCAGAGACAGAGGGGGGAGCAGAATAGGTGGAGCTACTAAAAATTCACTGCTGGGTGGAACATCAGGCGAGACAGGAGAGGTGGGGTCAGTTCCCTGGATGGGGATCACACTTGTGCTGTATGTAGTAGCTGGCAATAGCTTGATAGTGCTTGATAATCTCTGCACCACCAGAAAGGCCCTCAAAGTTTTACTTTTTGATTTATGAAAAACAGCGGTTTTATATGCTTCAGTCTTTGGTTTTTTCTTTTTTTTATGCATCTCATCTAGGAATGGGCAATAAGGGAAACTTCAGTTTGCTTCTAATTCCTGTGATTATTATACCCCTCTGAGGATTAGGAGCAGTATTTCTTTCTCTCCGTCCTCTGAGAGTCACTCATATAAAGATGCTTTCAATGCCGTTGTCTTGTATATAATGCTGTGTAAAGGAGGAAAAGTATGAAAATTTGTATTCTCTGTGCTCACTTGGGGTGTGTGTGTGGGCTATCTTACTATGTACCTAAGGTGTAAAATACTTGGAACTCCTTGAAAAGGAGTTTTAAGAAATGCTTTCTTGGCCCTCCCTGGTGGCGCAGCGGGTTAAAGCACTGCACTGAGAAGCTAAAGCCACTTCCACATGAGTTCGATTCCCGCCTGTTCCAGAGGTGGCCACATGCCGTGGCAGACCTTTCCTGACCCGCCCGCCCGCCCGCGGCTCCCCTCAGCAGTGTACTTCGTCGATCTCTCACTCTGTCTCTGGTGAAGCCTCCCACTGCCCCTGAGCCTCTGGCCTATACCCCAGTTCTGTATAAATAAATAAATCTTTAAAAAAAGAAATGCTTTCTTTTGCTCTTAAAACCATATTCTGTACCCTTTACAGGATAATTCATTTGAATTTGAAAAACGTAGAAATGAACCTGTCAAATACCAGCGAGAGCTATGGAATAAAACTAGTAAGTCACAAGGGAATCCCAGAAAATTTGGGGAGAGACTAGGGTGGGATATTACTGTAACTTCAATATCAGTTTGTTGTTTAAATATCACTTTTCTTCTCTTGTGTCATTTGTTGGTGTTTATTCTTTTGAAATCATTTTAATGGTTCTTATGCCTTTTATAATAAGTGACTCAAACTCTTTTTCATAATTGGTTGACATATACATTGTAAGAATAAAGTATATATTAATTTGATATTTGAAGTAGCCAGACAGATTAAAAAGAGAATAAAATCCAAAAAAAAACTGAACAGAAAATAGGACTGGGGGATACTTTTTTGGGATGAGTATGGCGTAGTTTAAATACATGCTTTATGAGGTTAGATAATTTAACTCAGGGATATGAATGGTGTATTCTTAATATTTTATAAAATTTAGTGCTTTTGTAAAAAATGTAGTACTTATGAGTGATAATCACAAATTTTCTGGAAAATTTCTAAGTACTTGACTTAGGTAAAAATGAAGCTATTGGTTACTAAAACTAAAATCAATAATATCTTATGTTTTCTTCCCACTGCCCCCTAAAATAGGCAGGGATGTTATTTAAAAAAAAAAAAAAAAAAGTAGGTGCTTCTTATATAGCTGAGGTGTCAAAACAGTTGGATTTTAGTGGTTGAGAACATGACAGATTGATTTGCTTTCATTATCATTATTCATCATGTATTCCAGGCACTTGAAAGAAAAGGTTCTTAATGACTAGAGCAGTGCTGTCTTTAAGGAGATAATAGGTTAAGAATAGGATTAGTTGCTACTGATAATCTAAGTTTGCTGAACAATAAAATTTGAAAAAGATAGTTTTAAAAGTGGAAGGAAAATTGAGTAGCAGTAAAGGATTTTGTAAAGTAAAAATAGTTAAAACTTGTGAAATATATATAGTCAGTATTGATGTCAGATAATAATACATACCTTCTCTAACGATTTTAGGTTTTTTTTTTGCAATGATTTTTATTCTCTTTCTAAACAAAGAAGTGATAAAGCACTTGTTGGTTAGAATCATTCTGCTTGACTGTGTGAATATGCTAACTTTTATGAATTTTTTTGTAGTTGATGCGATGAAGAGAGTCGAAGAGATCAAACAGAAGCGCCAAGCTAAATTTATAATGAACCGGTATGAATTTTTCTAAACCTTTATTTCCTTTATAGTATTTTGTTTTCTAGAGTAATTTTACACAAAATAGAATCTATGAAATAAAAATAATCAGTAATTTGTGTTTTTTAAATTTTTAATTTTTAATTTCAAACTTTAAGAAAAATATAAGGAACACTATCTTCTGTTAACAGGTTGTTACCTTTACTTCTCTCTATGTATAGTGAGTTAGGAACATGATGTCCTGTCTGTACTTCATTGTACCTGTTCTAAAAATAATATGCTGTTACATAACCATAGTATAGTTATCTAAGTCAGGAAATTAACACCAGTGCAATACTGTTACATAATCTATAGACCTTACATTTCACTTATTGTCTCAATAATGTACCTCATACCAACAAAATTCTGGATCATGCATTGTGTTTCATATTTATATCTCTTTTGATCAGGACAGTTTCTTTTTTTTTCAGTTTTTCTTTTTTGTCTTAAATGAAACATTTTTGAAGAGTACAGTCAGTTATTTTTATAGAGTGTCCCTCAGTTTAGATTTGTTTTATGTTTTCCTCATGATAAAATTTATGGTAGGTACCTTTAGCCAGCATATCATAGAGGAGATGATATGTCTGTTTCTAGTTGCTGATGTTATCTTTGATCTCTTAGTTCAGGTGGTGTCTGCCAGTTCTCACCACTGGAAACTTTTCTTCCCCCTCCTTTTAAAACCATTATGGTTCTTCTGGGAGATATCCAAATCCTATTACTCCTCAGACTAGTCCCTGCTGCTTTTAGGATCCATTAGAGTCTTGCTTGAGTCTATTACTGTTACTACCATGGCCAAAGAATGATTTTTCTAATTTCATTATTTCTACATTTATTGATGCTCTCAAGAAGAAAGAATTCCCCCAACGTTCAAAATTTGTTCATTTATTTATGTTGTTTGTTTCACTGATTCTTAACAATACTCAAGGTACTGTAAGGTGATTCTAAGTACCTCTTTGGCCAGTGGTCTCCCATGTCATTTTGACAAGTCTTCATAATTCTTTGAGTATTTTCTTGCTTTATAGCTAACAAGATATTCTAAAGCCTCATCTTATACTTATCCTGCAAAGAAATAAATCTTTTAGAATAGGAGCTTGATATTTTGCTCTTATCAAATTGAAAGTCTTACCTTAGAAAAGCAGTATGTGCCATTTGTTTTCTGGCTTAAAAAAAAAGTTAAAGCAGAGACCTAATGTTTGAGAACTAGTCTATTAGCATTTTTGTTACTGTGTGTTTTGTGCTATTGTAATTACTGATTAAGGCGATCAATGTTTTATATTTGAAATGAAAAGATCTGCACAACTAGAGATTTGCACCATTATGCGTATAATAGACATTGATCTATAAGATTGTTAATTCTGTGACTCAGTACATTTCTTCATTTAAGTTTATGTTGAGTTCCCATTTTATCCTTGACTAGGCACTAGGAATACAATGCATGAATACAATGCATGAATAAGTTGGTAGCACAGAAACACTATGTAAGTAGATCAATAACTAGAAAATTATTTTGAGTTCCCATTCCTCATCTCTGGCTACTTTATAAAGCTTATTTTTATATATTTGTTGTTTAAAGAAACTGTTTTTTAAAGGTATTTTAGTGAAATTTGGTTTTGATATGTTGTATCCTAGGTTAAAGAAAAATAAAGAATTACAGAAAGTTCAGGACATCAAAGAAGTCAAACAAAACATCCATCTTATCCGAGCCCCTCTTGCAGGTAAGTACTGCATTGCGTAGAAGTTCTCTGTTTTAAATAGGAGGTGAAAAAATCTGTATTTTGGATATATATTTTAATGTTTTTGCATGCCAAGCCAACTTCTAAGGGTAAATAGTTTTTTATTTAAATGGTATCTCTCATAGTACATATGTGATATGACTTGTTTTTCTTTACTATTATTTTAAAAATAAATTTTGATTGAGGTGGTATTTGCTTATATAACGTGGTTATAAGTTTTAGGTAATTAACATTTATGATTTGAAATCTGTATATATTATATCATGATTACAGCAAAAGTCTAGTTTCATGCATCATCAAGTAGTTGATTCACTTTATCCATTTCACCTCTTCCAACTCCTTTTGTAACCACGAATCTGTTCTTTATATAAGAGCTAATTTTGTTTTATTTACTTTTATTCTTATATCACATGTGAATCAAGTCATATGTATTTGTCTTTCTCTTCACTTGGACAGTACACAAAAGGTTGCTACAATATGGCAAGATTTCCTGTTTTATGACTGAATAGTAGTCTGTTGTGTACATACATATTTATCCTTCTTTTGATGGCCTTTTATGTTGTTTTCATATCTTGACTGGTAAATAATGTTGCAGTGAACATAGAAACCCCTGTGTACCTCTTTTATTATTATAAATGTTTGTTTTGAGGTTACCATAAAAAATTCATATACCCTCCTATGTATATTATATTCTCTTTTATATTAATGGCAAATTAATTCCAAACTCGGTCTTTCTTTTGTGCCCTATGCTTTGTTTTTGATGTCTTCCCCCCCCCCAAACTCTTTATGTATCCCTTAAGTGATTATTCTAGATTTGATTTTTTCTTCATATACTGTAATTACTCTACTTTTAATGTATGTTTACATTTATCAGTGAGACTTTTTTTCCCCTCCCCATGTTTTCTTTTTAGTTTATAGAATTCTCTTTAGTCTTTCTTGTAAGGCTGACTTACTGGTGAGCCATTTTTAGCTTTATCTGGAAAAATCCTGTTCTCCCCAATTTGTAATAACCTTGCCTTTAAAGTATTCTTAGCTTAGAGTTTTTTCATTTCACCACTTTGAGTATCTTTTCTTCAAGAAGGTATCAGTTTCTTTTGGTCTGCAAAGTTTGACAAATCTACTTAATTCCTCATAGATAACAAGTTATTTATCTCTTGTCTTTTAGATTTTATATTCATCTGTAACTTTTGACATTTTAATTATAAGATATTGCTATAACTCAGGCCTATTTAGATTTTAATTATAATGTATAGTCATATTACTGTTTAGAGCTCTAATTAGCTTTATTAAAAGATTCAACATTGGGTACTATCCCATCTAGCACATGGATTCTGTAAGGATTTCCACAAAATGGAAGGTTTTAAAATTGAAAAGAGTGGACAAGGTTATTAGTAAAACAAAGTATTTTAGACAAAGCCACTTTTCCTGAGGGAGGACAGGGAGTTCTTACGTAGTCTTATGTGGGTTACACCACTAGTGCTAGCCAGTAAACTCTAGGTTTAGGATTCCACTTTTGGGAAAAGCTGAAACTGTTAATTTAGATTAATAGTATTTGGGGACACATAAATGATTCCATTTTGATACCACTCCCCGCTCCCAATTTTTTTTTAAAAAGTGATAGAGATTGGAGCATCTTAAATGATAGTTAGACAAAGAATTTATTAGATAATCAAAGTGAGAATTTGACCCAGAAAACAGTCTGACAGATTTTACTGAGATCTATTCCAGTAAACAAATTTGAATTTCTGTAGATAGGAACAGAGTCATTGATACTAAGAATATAAACTTGATAGAAGTGGTAAGGTATCCTGACCCAAACATGCAGTGATGCAGGAGGAAGGCACTGCAGGATTTAACCTCTTTCTTTTTAGAGAATGCACTGAAGATATATAAAGCCTAGGTATCCGTGGTTAAATTTTACCTGACTCCTTGTTCATTACTGGGGGCGAAAGGCAGACTTTACCTGCAGACCTCAGATTTTGCAAAGCTGTGTCAAATATGCAGATTGCTTTGCTCTCTTGGCTGCAAAATTTTACAGTAGTCACATAGGAACTACTATAAATTTGGATATTACTCTAATAGGTATTGTTTCATAGTTACCTTAAGGTAATAGTACTGTTTCTTTAATTCATTTTTTCTTCATGTGTTTTGTTTGTTTGAGGTCCATTATTTTATCTTGCTCACTTAGCCATTCTTTGACTTTATCTTGTCCGAATTTAAACTTGCTAGTGTGTTTTTTTTTTTATTTAGCCTGTCCTCTTTTTGGAATTTTCTTCTATATCTGTTGGAGATGTCACTTTGCTCATTCTTTCTCCTGTATTAACTAAGCATCTTTATCACCTTTACTTTGAACTCTGTCAGATAGATTATCTTCATTTCTTCAAGGCCTTTTTTCTGAGTTTTTATCTTGGTCTTTTGTTTGTTCCTTCGTTTTTTCATTTTTAATCAAAACATTGCCAGTACGTTGGGGGTGGCTGGCTGCCAAGAACTGTCTGGTTGGTATATCCTATTGGTGCCCAGAAATGCAGGTGGGATCTGATAATCAAGGGAAGTAGCCTGTGTGGAGTGCCCACCTCAAGATTTTAGGTTTGTAATGAACAAGTGTTGTGGGCAATGAACAAGTGTTGGGGGGCAATGTGAATCTGCTAAGTGTTTTTTTTTTGATCTTTGGGGACTTTGATTAGGCTGCAGTTGGTTTAGTGTGCTGGGAATGGGGGGTGGTAAATGCCCAACTTTTCCAATAAGATGGAGAGGAACTATGCAAAAAATAGGATACTTGTCAGTATCTCCCTTGGGGAGAATTCTGACCGGTTGCCAGACCTTGACAGTTAACCCAGGCCAGGTGAATGAAGCACTTTTGTATGGTTAGTCCTCTTTGTCTTTTGATGTGCTTGTTCAACTAATAGTTCTCTTTTGGAGATAATAATTCCTTATTTGGGTACATTTGGTGGGGGGTGTATATGTAGGTTATTTTTGTTTTTCCATGAAAAGAAACAAATTTAGGGTCTTCTGTGTCTTAATCTTGCTCTTCTTGATATGACTTGCTTTTAAAGATACTTACTTTATAGTTCTAGTCAAGTTATTGCATTTTCCCACCCCTTCATAAATTCCTAACTTCATAAGGCATATCCACTTAAGATGAGTTCCTTATACTTATTAGGATTAAAGAACAATGGCTATTAGGATTAAAGAACAATGGCTATTTAACATTAGTTTTTCACAAATGTTGGTTTCAGAATTACTTTGGAAACTAAAGACCTACCTACACCCGTTAGATCTCCAGACAATTCTAATACTTAGTTTGAGAGCTGTAATTTTATATTAAAACTTCTCTCTCTGTTCATTTGTTTATGCACATTGTTTCCTGAGGTACGATAAGCCAGTTTTACCCAGTTGGCATTAACTAGAGTATTACATAATTTACTTAAGCAGATTATTTAAAAGGAGAGAATTTTTGGTGGAATTTAATTGAAGCCATGATTCCTGAATAACGATTCTGTGCCTAAACTTTTGAAAATATAAATTCTATGATCACATTCTGAGATATATGTACAAGTTCTAGCTAGGTCATTTTTGTACCAACATAAAATGGAAAAAATCATGGCTCATTTGTGTCATGTATTGATCATAACCTTCAAACAAGCAACAGAAATTAACTATTGTTACTGTTACCTTAAGTTTTCAGGTAACTATATTTGAGATAGATGACATTGTGTTTTTTTTTTTTTTTTTAGATTTTTATTTATTTATTTATACAGATCTGGGGTACAGGCCAGAGATGTGGAGGGTGAGAGGATTCACCAGAGACAGAGTGGGGTGCAGAACAGGCAGATCAACGAAGTACACTGCTGAGGGGAGCAGCAGGCGGGTCAGGAGAGATCTGCTACGCCATGTGGTCACCGCCGGGGCAGGCGGGGATTGAACTCATGTGGAAGTGGCTTAAGCTTCTTTGTGCTGTGCTTTAACCCGCTGCGCCACCAGGGAAGGCATAGATGACATTGTGTTAAGAGCAGTGACTCTGGATTCAGGGAGCCAGGTTTCAGATCTCAGCTTTTTGATCTTAAGCAAATTCATCTGTTTCTGTTTTCTCATCTTTAAAATGGGAGTTCTTAGAAAGGTGAAATGAGTAATGGTAGAATGCTTACCTATATGTGGAATATCATAGACCTGTATAGGCTTAGTTATTACTCTTTAATTTCTTAAATATGCCTGCTATTTTAAAACATCCAAGAGTCCTCATAAATTGTTGATATGCCTACTGCAAGATCACATTTAATTGTTTATTTTTTTCCTTATAGGGAAAGGAAAGCAGCTGGAAGAAAAAATGGTGCAGAAATTACAACAGGATGTGGACATGGAAGATGTTTCTTAAAAACCTTACTGAAACAGTTTTCATAAGTGCATTTGAAAACCTCCTTTGAAGACTGAGAATTTCTAAATTGATTTATGTCTTACAGTCATTCAAATGAAAGGTGATTAAAAAGTACACCTACATTGCTCTCTGGAAAATATCAGATATAATGGATGCTATGCTGCATCTCACCTTTAAACCTTCTCTGATAATATTCTTACATAAATCATGAAAATTCTGTTTGAGATTATAGAAGTTAATTTTGGACATAAAATGGCCATGCCAATTGTATAACAATACTAACAGCACTTGTGTAATTAATGGCAAAAATTTCATGGCTAGTGATGAGCAAAAATAAAAATTTCTTGGCAGAAAAACATTCCCTTTATTAATGTTACAGAAGGGAGGATACAATAAGGAACTAAAAATCTGCATGATAATTAGTTTCAGGTAATATCTTTAGATTTTGATATTTATTTGGTGTATTATTAAGAGATGCTTAAGTATGTTGGTGTTTTGACCTAGTTTAACTGTTCTGATAAGCAGTTGTGAATGTTTGGGATGAGAGTTGAATACTCTTTTCTTGTAATGGCCCTATACTCATAATTTCCACTTTAGATAATACTCAATTCTAACTTGAGATACCTTGTAGAATGAGCTTAATTTTTTCAGTTTAGCAGTACTTCATAAGCAGAGGAGTCCATTACTTCTAAAAGTATGTTTGGTTTTCTTTTAAATGATACTTGATTGTTTTTGGAAAATCAGGCTTGTGGGTAGAGCATCTATACATTATTTGTATATAAAACTTTTCTAAAACACAGGCCTATGTATTATTTAAAGGTACTAAGCAAGGGCCTGTTATATCAATTACTTGGAAGAAAAATAAACTTCCCCACACACTTAGTAACAAGGCAGGAGTTATATTTAAAGAACATACATTTCATGTTTCAACAGACAGCCATCAACTTTTCATGTACTTAATTATTTGACTTTACAGTGGTGTCAAAGCTATACAGTGATTCAGTAGAAACTGTATACTTTGAAGATTGAATTTTGATCTTTTCCCGGGCTAGTGATATGCTGTACAGTGTTCTCTATTGATACTGGTCAGTGACAGTAAGATGCAGGTTGAAGTTAGCCATTCAGTAAGGTAGGTAATTACACAACTGATAAATACAGTTCTCTGTGTTTCTAGTATTGAAAGGAACCTAATCCACTTCAGTCTGTAGGCTGAAAATTACTGAAGTGTCAAGAGTGATTAGCAACAGATTAATATATGTGCACAGAGGCGCCAAGAATATTAACCTACATTTGGTCATTCCAGTGAAATTATATTATCTCTAGAAATGGGGCAGTAAATTTAGGAGGGTAAACAGAATGAAGAGTTTTGTAATTAAAGAAAAGGAATTACACAAGGCTCACCTATAGATGCATCAAAAACGGGCTTTGCAAGCCCAGATCTGGATAATAAAACTATCAAGGCTGTTTTCCCAGACCACCAGAGATTCCTGTTTTTTGGGAGATCTAAGCAAAACATCATTCTTGGATCTTTTCTTAATTAGCATATCATTTGGGCACATCCTAGGGCAGCCTGTCTCTAGTCCTAACACCAGTATTTTCCACCTAATGATATTTCAACATACGATGCATTTATTAGGATATAAATCTATTAGAAGTCAAGGAAGATCTATATATATACTTACATTTAATGCTTTTGCTTATATCAAGTAACTCAGTTTTCATGTTTTTTTGAGTGGAATTTGGAATTACAGATTCTTTAGACCATAGGAATTAATGCCTAATTTTTAATTTCAGTATTAGATACTGAAAAAGCGAATTGTTCATTGAATCAAGTATTACAAGACCTGTATCCAGTGTATGCCTTTTCACTCTTACTTGTCAAGTTAAGACTCAGGTGAAACATTGATTTATAATTAGGGGAAATGATTTATGCAATCAAAGATATGTAAAATTTATTGACTTTTATTACAAATTGTATTATTGCTGAATATTTAAATTTTAAACACATTTTTAAAGAGATATTATTAGAAAGTAAGTTTTCTGCTATGCCTTTGCTTTGAGTGATTAATTTTGGGGAAAATAGAGCCTTTTTGAAATGAAGAGCTGACACTGAAGCTCATGTTTAACTTCCCAGAATTTCTCATAATTGTCAGGACTTCATATTATTTTGAGACCCCAGATCTCATTATAAATTATGAATGTAAATATCAGTTTTAGCCCCCACAACTTTCTAAACTTAATTGTATCACCAAGTTGAGTTGTCTCTTAAAGTACTGAGGGCTTTGTACTATGCAGAGAGTTAGCATGAGCATGGTACAGTGCTTTTAGGCTACTGTTTTTTAGTTTGCATGGTTGAGACCTCTACTGGACAGTTAACATAACACAAAAGTATAAAATTGTTCAAACACTATCCAGAATTCTTACATTTGTAAATTGTTTAAAGGTCATCTGAGGTTTGATTGTCACATATTTTTTATAAACCCTGTAAAAGTACCCACAAAAAATCCCCATTTCTAACAAAATAGGTATCGTAGCAAAATATTATATAAAGGAGTTTGAGAAGGACCTACTTATTTTACAATATATCATTTTATAGATAGGAAAATTTTAGGTTTTTGGTAACTTACTCTTTGTCACACAGAAGATGGAGGATGTGGGGATTTATGTTCTTACAAGTTTGTCTACAAAATTGCCCTGCATTTACATATCAATAGGAGAGACTTACTCAGAGCCACACAGATCCTGTCTTCACATGATTGCAAGTTGACCCTCAACCTGTGACTTGATTTCTTCATCTGAAAAATGGAGATAATATGACCAACTCTGGATTTTTTGTAAGTCAGTCAGTACATGTAAAATGGTCATTTCATGGCTACCACTTAGTAGGATTGGTTGTGTGACCAAATAAAACTCAGCAGTGGACTTTTGACTTGGGAAAAAAAATGGAGGGTTTTAGGGTTTGGGGAAAGGTGTGGCTAAGTTGAGACAGTTTACTCAGTCCATAAAGACAAATAAAACATTAATTTTAGCCTTTAAATCAGCAGGTAAATTCACTTATTAGGAAGAGTTTCTCATTCCCCAAATATTATTTGTGGTGAAGATTGGGAGTTGAAGGTATATTTCTGGGTTGTCAGGTAATCGTTTAGAAAATGAATTGTCTCAAAATTTTAAGGGATAATTTACACGATATAAAGAAAGTTTATTTTTCCCCTTATTCTCTAGCTTACATTAAATAGAGATTTGGATAAAGATACTTTGATCATTTAGGTTTATGATTTTAATTGTAATACCAAATAAAGACTATTAACTTGCAAAAGTTAACATGGCAGCTTGTTGAAAGTTCGAAGGGGAAAAATCAATATTAAAATTAATTCCAAAACCTATAGAAAAAAATTCCAAAGTCTACATTTATCAAGTGGGAAAATAAAAGGTAACACAAATTTTACTTTCCATGTCTTTACACTGAATGTATCAGTCAGCCTCATGTTTATTTGAATTATATCTGTTAATGAACTTTTAAGGGTAAGTGTCCTTTTTTAAAATGTATTCTTATGTTCTTGATATTTACCTTCTGTATTATGATATAAACCCCTGATTTAAGGTCTACTTGAATTCTCCCTAATATTTGATTTAAAAAATCTTGTGAATCTTTATTGAAACTCTTGAGAGGGGATTGGAGGTGATGTTTTTGCCATGTGACCTTTGCCATGGGGGATATAGTTACCTGACCTGAGAATGTAGCCTGTCTTTTAATTTCTTTGGATCCCTATGATCCTGCTGAAAAATTTCCTTTTACTAAAGTTTGTACCAAGAAATCTTGACTGATAGATATTTCCCTAACCTCATTAGCAAATTTGGGCAGCATATTTCTTTCATAATCTCTAAGAGTGCAGGGATAGTTGGTCTTATCCCAGTCATGTGTTAGGTACCAGTGCATGCATGGCTGGTAAATATGCTAAGTGGAAAATATGTAGTCTTATACTTGGCTTAATTCCTGTTTATTTAACTAAAAAAACGGTAACTAGAAAGAAAGTCAGTCAGTTACTACACAAAGAAGTAGAGAAAAAGAAGCAGTAAGAAAGGAAGCAGCCTGCCTTTGATTTTTGACATTAATTAAATCTGCACTGTTGGGAAGACTTGTTGAAGAGCAACAAGTCTTGGGTTGTATACCTGATTATACTGCTTACATCAAATTGTCTAACAATGATAGATCAACCTGCATTTCTGGGATTTACTAGAGCATATACATACCATGAAATCCCAGAAAGGACCTGTTTTGACAGGTGGGTTTTTTTTTTTTTTAAGTTTTGCACTTAACAACTTGCTCTACTGATAGGCTAATACTCTATTTCAAGAGCCAGAGTCAAAAAACCAGAAATAAGGACAACTAATTGGCAATAAATTGCTAAAACATAAAAACTACTCTAAAGCAATGCTAATGATCTAAAAAATATAGGTGACTGCCCCTGTTTGAGGAACTCTGTCTTCAGAACAACTTTTAAATATTTGGCTTTCTTTAATGTATATATGTTTGGTTTGATGTTAAACCATGACTCTTAAACACCAGTGAAATATATGCCATTGCAATCAGTTTTCTAGAATATGCCTAATGATAATGTCCTATATTTTCTCAATACCAGGGAAAAGCAATGTAGTTAATGAACAAATATTAAAGGAAGGCAGTTTACCTAGTTTTAAGTATATGCCATTCAAAAGCAAATGATTTAACTTACTCTTACTGTGTATTTAAAATGCCTTCATTGAATTGTCTACTGAAATGGTTTTCAGTATTCCCAGCTTCCCAATGTTGTCAAAACCCCATACATAGCCTGGTAGCTTTTTGGTTTTATAGAGATAGTTTACCATTTCAGAAAGAAGTACAAGAATTATTAGAAGATACATAAGAAGACTATGTACAATGAAAATAAAAGTTGTGTAAGGGAAAACATCTTAAAAGAGAAAACCAGATTACGGCCTCCTAGAACATTTGATCATACATTTGCAGGTAATAATTTATATTCAACTTAGATTCAAGCTCAGTCAGTACCACTTAGTGGCAGATTTGTGAGAAACCAATGACTAGTAATTACAGCTAAGTACATTGCATATATTACAGTATTCACAACCCTTCAGGCTAGTCCTCTTTTTACTTATAAGAACATGAGGTAAAAAATACAATGGCTCGATTCTTGTCACTTAATAACTAGCAGAACTTAGACTCGAGCTCAGTCTATCTGACTCGATCACTCACTAGTATCCTAAACAACATCTGCCTTGATACCTGAACTTAGATGGTGCTAATATATATCCATTCAAGGAAAAAAAGAATAGCAATAAAAGTTCTGAATAAAAGGATAGGTTTTAAAGAGTGGTTTAATTTTTCTTGTGATTATAAAATGAAAATAGTTTTCTAGGACACTCGAGTTAATCATCTGTTCCAGGTTGAATATAATTCATATCGCAAATATAGCAATATGAAGTCTTCTGAAAGTCACTATCCTTAATTAGTAACACAATACCAATAGTTAACAATATGATTATTGGAGGAAATGTTCATTTTAACTTTGAAATGCATGCTAGTCATATTAATTTGAAAATTGGACACCTGTCTTTATGAGCAGTATCAGTATTAACTTTCAAGTTTATTTTGTCTGCTATGTATGAGGACTGGTTTGCCTCATTTAACAAACAATAATTAGTTTATGTTACTTATGGGACCCATTGGAAAGTGTATTCATGAAGTTGTAGTCCATGTTTCATAGGATTGTTTAATAGCTAGTTATTGTTCTTATGCTAATTCTTAAAATTTTCCAAGACTGTCAGGATTACTGCCAACAAGAGTTATCTCTTACCCTCAGCAAGGGACTGAAGTTCTGATGCTGACAAATTTCAGGGCTCATCTAAGGTAAAAGGTATGTTTGAAGGTGCTCAATCTGCTATTTGAGTTATCTTCCTAGTGATGCAGAAAATATTAAATGAGTGTGCTTCTACAATGTTTTTACAAGAGAATGGAACAGAAAACACATTTAAAGTAATAAATAGCTGAAAATTTCATATCTGGGGAAGGAAACATATCCACATCCAGGTAGCCCAGAGTGTTTCAACGTAATTAGAGATAGCATGCTAACAGGTTGCCATCATCGTGGTAATTCCCCAGTGGGACCCTATCTGGTGACTAGGGCACCAAGCCTATAAAGCACCCCAGAATATGGTGACCATGATTGCCGTAGTTGTCAGTCCTTGCCTCACTGCTGTACTTAGGTCCCTCCTGGAAGTGTCAACACTAGCAGCATGACCCTTAATTTATGACACAGATAGGCTGAAAGTGAAGGGATGTCAAAGAAGCAGTTTCTAAATTTATTAGTCTTATCCACTTTGTGTCTTTATCATTTTCTTCCCAGGAAGGAAGCTATGCAGTCATGAGGTCAATAATAGGCATTATCTTCAAAGAAGTCCCAGAATTGAGGGACTCAGTAGATAGTTTATCACTTCCTTACCTCCACCAAAATCTTTTCATTCAACTGAACTGGAATCTCTGAAGTGTTCAGGTCTGTCTTCTTAATACCTTTTCCTGTGCACTGAAACCACAATATGTTGATAGTCTATTTATTACTTCTGGATCAACTTGAACTATTGATAAGGTAAGTTTCAAAGCTAGTACTTTCAAAGATGTTTCAAATTTTAACTGACATTGGTTCACCTATTCATTTTTTTCTATTCAATAAATATCGGGCTGCTACTATGTGGCAGGCACTGTTTTAGATGCTGTGCAGAAATTGTAGTGAACAGAGTGGATGGAAATCAATCCCTGCATTCATGAAATGTGATGGGAGAAAATGTCTCAGGTAAAGAAGACCTAAAATAATGTCAATATTAAAATGTTACTTGGTGTGTTAAATTTTTTTAAATGACATTAAAAACCCCAAACCACCTGGATCCAAAATTCTTAAATATATTGTAAGGAAATAATTTCATGCACAAATATGTATGTGTAAGAATGTTCATTCTATTTTAGCACATCAAAAATAAACATTAAACAAATCAAGGAGTGGTTAAGTAACTTACAGTACACCATCTAATAGGCAAATTTGAAATGACTGAAAAGGATGCAGAGATGATTCTAATGACTTTAGAATTTCTTATATTAAGTGAAAGTTGCAGTTTTCAAAATTGATATGATTTTGAATCCTGAATATGAATTGATAATGAGTACAATTCCTGTAATACAGTGGACCTCAGGGGTTTTTGCCTCTCAGAGATATTTGTCAATCTAGGCATTTCTGACTCACACCAGGAAAAAGAGTAGAGGCCAGTGGTCCTGCTGAATATTCTATAATCCCCTGTGATGAATTTTCTGGTTCAAAATGTCAGTAGTGCCAAAGCTGAGAAGACTTGTGCCTAAACAACATTCAAAGGGTAAATGCTTTTTGGATAAATAGGGTAATAGATGTTTTTAATGCTATATATACTTGTGCATTTATATGGATTTTGTTTTAATGAGGAAGTGTTAATTTTGCAATTAGAAACAGTTTTCCTAGGCACTCCTGACATGTGCACAGTTGATTGCCTTACCTGTGATGCCTTGAATCTGATGGATCTGGGATATACACGGTCCTTGCTTATTCCTATGAGTTGATGTACTTGATGGCTTAGTAATGAAGTACATCCACTCCTGGAAGTTCCTGGATGCCCACGGATTTTAGCCTAAGGAAGAGAGCCCTTCATTCCTCAGCACAGGTGCCAGAAAGACACGCTATACATTAATGCCTCAACTGCTGGAGCTCTACTCTAGCAGGTCCAATTGAGGTTAACTTTTAATGTCTCCTTTGGTTGTTGAAATACTATATTTGTTTTCTGTTTTGGTTGAAATGTGGTTTATAAGGGCCTAAATGGTTTGTTAGTTTAGCCACCTTCTCTCTTTAAGCTCACATGGCTATAAAGATCAGACATAAAATACCTTTAATAGCTTCCCAAATTTTATCCTCAATGATACCAGGGCCTGGCTGGTTTGTGGAAGACTATGTATGCAGTCTGTAGAATTTTCCTCAGGTGATCATGTGGGATTTCTAGTACTTTAAATATGCATATTTTATCCATCATTGAATTGTCTCCATTTTCTGTCATTAAAAGTCACAAAACCTGTAAGAGAAACAATCAAGTGGGCAAGGCAGATCATGTATTTCCTCTTCCTCTGAACTCCTTATTTTCCTTACTGGAGTCTACCTAGAACTATGAAAGATGAGTTTCCTGAAATTAATTTATGGCCATTCTTGTAACATGCCCACTTACTGGAATCCATCAGTGTGTGCAGATCTCCATGTGAGAAGATGGAGTTTGACCCCCCCCGCCCCCCGCCCAGTAAACAATTAAGTCATTAGTGGATGGTTTGTTTCCATGAGTAACTTCCAGTTTATAATGATTCCAGTAACACTTATAACACATTAATTTATTTTCCACTTAATCAGTGTTTAAATTGAACTGGGATCAGGCAGAAGAAGACATGTGGTTTTGCATAATTATAAGGGAGCCAATGGACGTAGTCATAGGAATTTAGCATTAGAAACCTCACTTCAGAAGCACAGATGGTCAGAAGATGTTGATAAACAATATGTCCAGGAATAAATCCTCTTTAAGCATTATATCAAATTCCCAATGCCTGCATGACAATTAACTTTGCATTAATTACTTTACATTTTCTTATGCTCTGAATCTATTCTACAGTCTGAGCAAACTGTGGAAACACTTCTTGTCATGCTCCATTTAACTTAAATTATGAGATTGTTCAGAAAGGCATTTCTTCTCAGTCTTGTCTAGGTAGTAAGTTCAGTATTTAACATCTGTCCCTGCCTGCTTTTTTACTCTTCTCCTAGTCAGTGTTGTCGAATTGTGAGTTTGCCTTGTGGGAAGAAAGGTTATGTTGGACAATTGATTTTTGCATTGAAGTTTGTCCAGAAACTCTCTAGATTAAGATTTACACTTGCTGACTTTGTGTTCTCAAAACTACTAAAAAGGCTGAACAAAAGGTGTCTTACAGGCAGGGTATTTCTGGTATGTAGCAATTTGTTAACTGTCTGATTTTGTCTTAGGTGTTTTTTCCTGTCTCCTCAGTAAGTCATTCCATGTACAGTTGAAGTCTCCTCTTCATATTATTACTCCATTCCCTCCTTTAAGCCCCAGAGAACCACTATTCAGGGGGATTATCTTCCCAGGCATGTATTTATTATTTCAATTCATTACTGCACAAATTGTATATTATTTTACATGTATTTAAACTTTTAAAAAGTGGTTCATACCGAAGGAATTCTATTGTATTTTGTCATGAAACATTGTAAATTTGTTCTAATAGATCCATGACACACACAGATACAGATCTAGTTTATTAATTTAAATGAAGTATAATACTCCATCATGGCAGTGGGCCACAATCTATTATCTGTTACCTTGGTGGGGGAAATTTAAACACGTGTTTGGTTTTTCACTATTCTAAAAAAAATTGAAGACCACTTTATTGTTTTGTTGGAATTTGAACTCAAGGCCTTCTGACAGTACTTATTCATTGTATCAAATTGGCTGTCATGTGGTAGCCTTCTTTTCTAATTCAGTTTGAATTGATAGAATACATTAGCTAATCATTAAACCTTGATCATGCGATTTTCTCTCCTTACAGTAACAACTT